TTTTATAAATTAAACATCATTTTATTTACTGAATTTTTACAATAAAAAAAAAAAAACAAGACCGACTTCATAAATTAACCGAGCACAAAAAACTGAATTCATAATTTGTCGTTCAATTGTCGTGGATTATAAAAGTAGAATTGTAAAATCATTAATTTGTAATAACACAATAGCAATTCTTTTCCATAAACGAATTTATAGTAAAATCCAATTCATAATATCGTATGAATAAAAAGTAAACTGTAAAAATGCTATTAAATGTTAAATGTACCAACATTTGCAGAATTAAATAAATTTCTAAAAAAAAAAAAAAAAAAAAAAAAAATTAAAAAGAAGTGTATGAAAAAATCAATATTTCTAATGCAATATTTAATGGAATAAAATAATCGATTAACTAACAACCAATTATATTTTCAAGTAATTTTTAAAATTGTCTATTCTATATGTTTAGAAGATATTAGTAATATTTTATTACAAAATTAAAAAGTAAAAAACTGATTTTGAAATTATACGGATATAGTATATTATTGTATATGTATTCACATATAATTTTATATATGTGTGCGTGTATAAATATATATTTTGTAATATAATACAATTATAACACACCTTTAATATTAAAAAATATATATAATTTTTTTATTTGATTTCTGTTTGCTGTATGCACAAGTAACCCATTTTTATTGCAAATTTTCTGAAAAATCTCCAAAAGAAAAAATATTTTTATATAAGTTAAAAATTCCACTATACCCGTAAATAATTAATAATTGTAGATATTTTTACAAAAATTCAGTTCGCTAAACATTCTAATAAATATTCAATGTTAACAAATATATACTATTAAATTTTTTTTAAAGCTGATTAAATTATATATTAAGGTACTTAATTGATATATTTTTTTTGGAAATACAAGAAATGGTATTCATTTGAATAAAGTTTATTTGAAAAATCCATCTAAATTCACTTATCCAATTATTAAAATGAATTTACAATTATTTAGATTGATTTATAATGTTATTATTTTCTGGTAATTTTCTGGTAATATTTGATAATTTTCATAATAATACAATCATGTGTCAATTGCGTTGCTTTGAAAATAAATTAAAACTCAAATCTAAATACAACAAAATTTATAGTAATATTTCTAATTGTTTTTATTGTCTATTATTCGATGAAAACGGTGGAAAACCTAAAATATTAAATTGCCTTATCAAATATTAATGATTAATATAGATTTAATTTTATTTTTTTTTCAAAATATTTTCTTACTTGATAAAATAAAAGTGTACGAAGTCATAATGGGATAACCTTGAAATGAAGGATACAAAGAGAAAGGAACTGATTTATATTTGAAGATCTATTTATATAGTTACACTCATTTATGTTTAATATTTATAAAAAAAATTCGATACAAAACATCTTTATTAAAATTAATTTTATTATTTTAATTAAAAGAGAAGATCAACGAGACAAAAAGTTTGACTTTAAAATTTATTTAAAATAGTTTAAAATTTTGAATTTCTTACAACTATTTGTTTCTATAGATTATATATATATATCAAATTTTCTCAATAATATTTTAACTACGACAGACGCGTAGATATTTTTAGTATTCATTAAATGTTTTTCGTTTTTTGATATCTGAATGAAAAATCCGATATAAAAAATGTATTGATTCGAATGAATAAAAAGTACAATAAAAATTATTCCTTAATTACGTTCAAGATTTTTTATATGAAATGAGCATTAATTAATAAATAATTGTATTAAGGAAATATGAAATATTTATCCACATAAACGTGTAAAAACTGATGATCATACAAGCGCCTAAAAACATGCAGCAATTTATTGTTCATTGGAACAAAGCCATAATGACCAAGTATCGTTGAGGATAGAAGCGAATATTCTGCTTTTGCGAAATTATTCCTCAATAGAATAAGCCTGTTACAAGCGCTGCTTTTATGTTAGTACGTGCGTGTACTTGCCGCTTTCGGAGAACTTTGATAAGACTACTACTTGCGTCTCTAGTAGCGAGAGCCTTGACAAAATGGCGGCGATATTGCGCGGGAATTGGCAAGGAGTTTAATTACTGAATGCAAATGCAAATATACTTTAGGGACAAGATCGCGGCACTATCTGGACTACATTTCTCGACTTGGCTATTATTCACGAAAGCATTTTCTCAATAAATGAAATTCCTTTTGTAAAGGCAGAGCAGAGGATTTCGAAAAAGGAAATTAAAAGACAAAGGATCAAAATAATCAAATGATATATATGCTGTAGTGGCTTTTGTATTACGATGATAATAAAATATTCGTCAGCTTTGCGCTTACTTTACACAAGTGTGTTTGTAATTAAATTAATATCAGCCAGTGAAAACTGGCGGTATACAAATTTTTCGAGTTATTTTTTTTTTTCTTCTTTAACTAAACTATGTCAAAATAGCTATTTTAGAATCCATTTTATAATTGAAAACTTTTTGAATCGAATGCATGTTGAGAGTGACACGACGTTAATAGTAGACTGAATTAATGTATACATAATACTTATATTATTTTTGGCTTATTTTCTCTAAAGATTATATCGAATTATAATCGTTTATTATAAATATTTATTAGCTAATTCTGCATATTACATCTAGAACATTAATCTTATATTCACTTACAATAATTGCATAAAAATAAACTAGTTTCTCTTATAAATTTAATTACTTCCTATTATTGCAAATTGAATAATATATGTATTTGCAAATTATACAGTTATCGTCACCGGCAATAGAAAAAAAGGAATACAAAATAATCAAACAATTACACTTATAAATAATTCTATTACAGTAAATACATGTAGCAATTACGTAAAACTATATAACTCGATTAAAATCTGATTATTCACATCAATCTCGTTATTCTATTTAAAACAAACAACGAAGTTATCATCAACCCATTTCCCACAGAGAAAACGATCGATCAATATCAAAATTTCCATAAACTAAACAATCCCCTAAAGTGCAACTAGAGTGTGTAATTCTATTTATTTATTATAAGGTAAGAAATAAAGCGAAAGGAATAAAAATGAATAGAAAGAAATGCATTTGACCCGAATAACGTTGGATGGATGAAAATTCTAGATAAACTTGAATTATGACGGTGCGATGTCTGACACAAATAATAATCCAGTGCAAGGTAAATGGAATAAATATCATTACAGAAGGTTATGTAAGAATAACTTTACTTCGTCAATTTTTTAACGACAATTAAATTAATTAACGTTAATATATTATGAAATAATATATTAGCAATAGCAGCTTGGGCATAAGAAAGATTTTACCTAAAAGTTGAAAACAAAGAACATCAACTTGCATAGTATAAGTTAGATATTTAAAAAATTTATTGTTTATAAAATTATATGAGTTCTCTATTAAATTATAAAACATTTCATTTATCTTAATGTTACTGAACAATTAAGACGGACTTTGAAACTTATGTCGAATATTAGATTTTCAAGGATGATCGTTGTTACCATAAATGTATTAAAAAAATATTTTTTATAACTTGAAAATTATTTTTATATTTCCATTTTAATTACAAAATAACTTTTATAGCTGTTATTTTTGTAGAGATTGTGATTATGAAAAAATTAATTTTTTTTTGAAAAATTCATAACACTATACAATTAATACGTATAATAATAATTCAAAGTGAAAATATTTTAGCTTTCTCAAATTTATTATCAAGCATTGATAAATTAGAAATTAAAATCCATTTTATAGAAATTTGAAAATATTTAAATTGATTACATTTATTACAATTATTATCTTTCAATGAAGTATGTGTAAAATGTATTTAATTAAATTACAATGTGCGTCGAAATATGAAAATGTGAAAAATTTTTTACAATCATGTATGAATGAATTCAGAAAATACTTTTCTTTAAATGAAAACATTCTTTAAAAAATTTCATGAATATATATAATGTAATTATATTTTCATCCGTATATAAAAATTTTTAATTAGTTAAATTAACTTAAAATATTTGTTTGTAATATATTATATCGATTCAAGTTTTTTTTATTATTTGTTGTTGTTGTTTTTTTTTGTTTTTTTTTTTGTTTTTATTAATTTATTTATTTATTTATTTTTTTTTTCTTTTGCAAAATTTCACGATGCAATTGAAATGTGTGTAACAATGTCATATAAGCATTTACTATAAATGACAAATACTCTATATTGTTTTTATATAATGTTTTATTTAAGCCACGTAAATCGTTGCTTTAAGCCATACAAATGATTATAAATACGCATTATAAAAAAGAAGAAAAAAATTATAAGATATATAAAGATGATAAGAATGGAATAAATGCCATTTGAAACATTAGAACATAAGTGTAGCAGTTAATTTATGCGAATATATAAATTTATTCATACATACAGAGTCATAGAGAGATTTCATAATTAACAATTTCACATAAATATGGATAAAGTTGAAATTTTTCTCGCAACTGACCTGTTTAGAACCAAAGTCTGTATAATCTGTAGGATTTTTCTCGATTCACATTCTATGATATGTAAAAGTATTGGAGACAGGACCCATTGTATAAACAAGTTTGGAATACTGCTTTCTATTTCAATTCCCCTACTTAAGTATAAAAGTAAGTAAGGAGAGGAGGTCGAGATATATTATGTTTTTATACGTACGAGGAAAAGTCAAGTTTGCCAATAACAATGTCAGCCCCCGGTGCCACTTCTTACACGGTGTCACATAGTATCACGGAGTGGGGATAGACCGGGATAGATGCCTTTTTCATATAATCATCGAGCATCAATCGGCCGTGTGTTTTCGCTTCGACTTCGTTCTGTTGTGATCCTGCAATTATAACGTGACGCCGTGTCTCATTGCACTTTAATAGCTGGTGATCACCTGTCCACCATATTAAGCATCATGGAACCGAATGTAACTAATTTTCGTGATAGAAATTGCTACTTTTTATTGAAATTATTATTGTGATACTTGTTTTGAATATAATAAAACAAATATATAATTTTGTGTCAATCGTTCGACTGTATTTCCGTTGCAGTTACACTATTTTGGTAAGTCGTAAGTCTATCCGAGATTTTATATTTTATATATTTAACATAAAAATTAATTATGTCATGAATTCCGACAATTAAAAGTAAATCATCTGAGCGAAGCATTTAATACTGCAAGTTTTATTTTCTCCTCAATGGGATCTATTAAACTGATTTCCTAATTAAAATTGAACGATAAGAAAACAAAATGCTTTCATAACACTACTATCATAATGAACATATAGATTTTTTTTTTTTACGCGCTCAAAGTAACAAAACTTTCAAACTTTAGTAATCCATCCAAAATGATTAGCATTACAAAAACGATTAGTTTCATTAATACCCAAGGATTACGATTACACATCCATGATTGACACATGAAATTAACGTCAGTGTAATTCATATGCATAATGTAACATTTAATTAATTGAACAATTAGTACTACTTTATCCGGAAAGAAATAAAGATGAATTGAGATAAAATGAGAAAGTGCAAGAAAAAAAGAGCGTGGGGGCATGTAATTCTTTAGAAATTAGTATTTGTTTGAACACGAGAAGATGGAAAAATTAAGGTTTTTCAGAGTTTTATTAAATTTAATTTCTAAATTGTACGTGATATCCATAGAAAATTTTACTTTATATAAAATAATTTTAAAATTTAAGGACTTTTATCGAAATAGAATATTGTGGTTTGTAACTATCATTGATACATTATTTTATCGATTTTCGTTGTTTAATTACAATTATGATTTACAATAATACCTGATGTTTTAATGAAGCGCCATGAATATTTTTAAAAACTGAAAATTATTACAAATAATTTAGAGCTGTGAAATATTAAATTTGTATTAAATAGTGATATAGTTTTTTTTTTTATATATAAATTGCGTATATTTACATATTTATAAATGCAAAGCCATGTACTAAATTTTATTCATATCACAAATAAAAATGCAATTCATATTCAATTATGAATTTAATTAATAATAAATGGAGAATTGTTTTTCCAAAACTTTGAATATTTATCATTTTATTGTATATTAAAATATTACTAATAACGAGCGACTGAAATTTTTTTAAATTATAATACATGTAGCTTGATACTATTTAAATATCAGATTACACTGCATATTAACCTTATTAGTATTCTAATTTTTCCAAACAGAGATATCTTCTTAAATAATAACAATAAGTTTTCTTAAATCAATATGAATACACTAAATTTTAATAGCAAGAACAGACATTAGTGTGTTGTGTGGCTTGAGTTAAAAAATGTATTTAGATTGATTAATTACGCAATTGAATGGTCATAAATTCATAAATTTCATTCAATTCGTTTTAATTCCTCTAATCATACTACTGCCTAGTTGATATTATATTTATATAATTTAATCATCTTTAAGGTAACAACATATCTTTAAGAAAAGATACATTTAATTAAAACATTATATTTGTAGAGAATATATAATACATTGATTAATAATAGTTTTAATAATATTAACTTTTCAATAGAACTAATGGAAAAACTGACGTAATAAAAAATTGCCAAGGGTTAAGTAATTTTGTTTGAATCTTTGATAATAAACTAATTTTGAAAAGCCAATTTATGAAGAAGCATAATAAATACTCTGGTAAATTCCATTTGTAGTTCTTGTTCACATTCATACGAATTAAATATGCTCTTTTCGGTAGAAATCAATTATTTATTTTTTTTTTTCTGTAATGACACATATTTATGTAATCCTCTAAATATTTGGTGAATTGGAAAACGACGAAGGATACGAAAACCGGTTGAGACAGTGATGTCATTTTTCAACAATAAAAATTAATAATAAATATAACGTGATTCACAGATATATATATATATATATATATAGGCAATAAAGATAGATATAGATTGTTGAGAAAAAGCGTAAATTGAAATATAAATTAAAACAATTATATATAATAATTTTATTTTTACAAATGATATGTGCATGCAACGTTAATTATTCTATTTTACGTGAAATAAATTCTTTAACGTACATTATTATTGACCTCTAGTTATATTGAGCATAAATATTTCCCATTTAACCAAGTTATTGTCAGGCTATTTGTACAAATTGAAGTAGTCTATTATGAAAACGTACTCTTACCTCTTGAAAAGTAAATGGTTTCTATAACTAAAGAGTTCCTTTTAATCATGTGCTGTGCTCTAAATTAATTAAAATACTCTTAGCCATTAGTGTAATTTTATCGAAATACATTATCACTAAATTGATAATTTTTATTTCACAATATTTCATGACAGATACATAATTACTTTCCTATTCTAAAAGTAACGACATACTATTTTAAAATTTATTACACATTCTCTTGCTTTCAATGAATTAGATGTCAAGTCCTTATTATTATTCAATATTTCGAAAACTTTTACTTCTCTCATGTTTATCTAATATCGTTTGCACGGCCGATATTCACTTTCATTTCAATAATTATCAATATTTCCACCTGTATTATAAAACATTGTAATCTTCATCGAGGTCCTGCATAATTTGCCATTAAAAAATAAAATGAAAAAAGCAAGATAATTCTGTGCGTGAAACGAGTTTATCAAGGAAGTAAAAGTCATTAAAAAAAAAAAAAAAAAAAAAAAAAAAAAAAAAAAAAAAAAAAAAAAAAAAAGCGGGTCAAGCAGTAGCGGACAAAAGCGAGGTCCCGACAGGTAGACGCGGTTTTCTGTCCGGCAAACAAGCCGTTCCCCACACGTTTGGCCGAACAAATAATGGATCGCAAGCTGGTTCAGCCGCACGTGGCACTTATCGATCCATTGATCCATAAGCTCCCGTTTATTTCGTCATGCGCGCCGTTACCCGAATTAAAAAAACAACCACGAGTGAATCGGACGAAGACCAATCTACTTCCGCTTGTGTTGTAGAAAATCGAGGCTCTGCACTCAAGAACAATAACGACGATGGAAACTTTTTAACGCAGAATATAAGAGAGTAAGAGAGAGAGAGAGAGAGTGTGTGTGTGTTAGTGTGTGTGTGTGTTAGTGTGTGTTAGTGTGTGTTAGTGTGTGTGCGTGCGTGTGAGAGAGGGAGATAAAAGTAAAGTCGCGTATTATTTCGGCGCTATTTTCATAAATTCTCCCACTACTTCTCCATTGACTATTTTGTTTTTTTTTCTTTTTCCTTTCTTTCTTTCTTTCTTTTTTTTTATTCAAGAAACATATCGATTTCTTGTCAACTTAAGCCGAGCATAATATATCATGAATTGGAAAACCGCCCCCGGCTTTTTTTTTCTATGCCCCGAGCCAACCGAGTACAATGCAATTAAGTGCGTTGTCGATCTATTTTTTACAATTTGCCACGAAAAATGAACAATAGATTTATCAGTAATTTTATTTTATACGAGGTTTACAAGAATAATGTGCATTCTCTGCCAGACAAATGGCTGTCTGATTTATCGCTTAATTGTTTACATATGGTCAACCTACATTGGAAATTGGTGTTTCTTCAAATGGGTAGAATTTTTATAGTACTTGGATATTGAACAGTAATTTAAATTCACGGGGCATGCATATTGATCCATTAATTACAATTTCGTTTTAAATATGAGCAAAATTGGTAAATAAATCTTGTACGATAAATATACAAACTAATTGGATGTTAAAATTATCGCGATGCCTAAGCTTCTTAGAGTTTAGTCATTAATAGTAACGATCAAAGCTTTTGGAATTCAGAAACTAAATTAAACTAATAATGAATATTACGAAGTATGGATTTCATAATACCAATTAAATTTTCACAACTTTAGGGATCTGTAATATGTGTATCTGATTACCTTATTAATTATTAATTGAATACACCAATTATAGATAATCGCTGTGATCAATAGCAATTAAAAATAGCAGATGATAATAGTATATCTAAAGTTTTAATTGTAAATATGGATTTAAAATTCACGTAATCAGTATCAGTATAACATTTTGCATAAAATATTAAGTTTCATTTTTCTACTGTAAGAAAATTATTATTATTTTTTTATATTACATATAATGACCTTATTTTATTTTATGATGCCTAAACACATCGTTTCTTTATATTAAGTGAATTTAAATAAAATAAAAATCTTTCAAACCATAAATTAAAATTAAATTGTTTGACAATTTTACTTAATAATACAATTACTGTTATAATGACAAATATCAATCAACTTATGGTATTATTAATGTTATATTATATATTATAAATTAATAAAATTCATAAGGTACTATGTGGTAATTGTAAAATTAGACTTCGAATGGAAAGAAGATAGACGCATATGTAAAGAATTTACATATAGTAAATTAAAAAATAATATACGATGTTTTATTCCAAACATTATATAATTGTAATATTTAAATAATTATTTAAATATATATATATATATATATATATATATATATATATATAGGCATGAGATATATTTATTTAATTATCATACTATATGCATAGAAATGTTTACCAAACTCATATTGCATTTGTATTGCAAAAAGTTGTATATTATATATATATATATATATATATATATATAAATTTGTATAGGTTATAACCTGTGTTTATGCGCGTATGTATAATTGGGTAAAAACAATATTATGTTCATGTGTAAATAAAGTATTTACAGATTATTTTGTTAAATTATTTAACATTATTGATTATTATGTTTTCTCATTTCTTTAGAAATTAACTAAAACCATTTCGTTCTATTATTAAAATAAAACAGAATCTTATATTTATAACATATTAATCACTTGAATTTTAATGGCAATTAGAAGCAGAAAAAATACAAAAAATATATAATGACATCAATTATTTGACTTTTTATGTATATATATTCATGAATAGCATTACGTTTGTATAAAATATACACTAATAAAAAAGTTAACGTAAGAAGCTTCCAATTAACATATTGTTTCAGCGGGTTGAATTATTACTCAGAATAAATGTAAGCAAAACATGTTTATTAAATATATTTACTTTCATGCAAACTGCAGATGCACAGTAGATTGTTCTTTAATGAACTCATTGTGTGTATGCAGATATTTAATAAAAATCTTAAAAACTTACAAGAACTTTAATTATATATTCATTTTCATTAACCAAGATTTAAAATAAATTTGATGAAATAGTACAACTCATGTCTCACAATTTACATGTATACAAAGAAAAGTTTATTATCATAATTTTCGTTATTCAAGATTTATTATCAAGGCTGCTAAAGTCTATGAAGTTTGATTAACATAATAATTCTAAGTTATTAAAAACTCGATATCCTAACAATAATATTTATGTGTTGCCGATCGTTAAGCAATCGATCTTGGAATAATAATATTTGCACACCATTTGTAAAACTGTGTATGCACAAATTGAAGTTGTGACTTCAATAAAAGAAATAGTGACTGCCGCAATCAAGGCAGTAAAAGTATTAGAAAAATTGTTGCCGTAGCTCAGGATTATTTTGCAATTAGTTTTAAAAATATCGAGAAATATATACTTGGAACAAATTGCCAATCAAGTATTTCAAAGAAATTGAGGGATCTATATTAAGGGATTTCTCCAAGATATTGAGTCTATCCAAGCTATCGTCCATCCATCCATCGAGCATTTGTACTCAACGTTGATAATTCGCCTCCATGTACGTTGAACATACCATGAACGTTCAACTCTATCTATCATCTGCGGTTGTGTCGCGATCGTTAGATTAAGGAATTGTCGGATTGACATTATCCACTGCTCTCGCATACATTCACTCTCATATTTTATTGTTGAATATGTATATACAAACAATCAACTTGATAAAGACAAAAAAAATAAAAAAAAAAAAAGAAGAAAAGACTGGGTATTTATCGGAAGCATTTTCTGAAAAAAGTGTATAAATTGCAATAAAATTATTGTTATGATTTATTAATTCGACATAATTTTAATATTTATTTTTCATTTAACCCTTTATTTATTTAACCATATATTATTACAAAATATCATAAATTATATGAATACCTAAGTATATCATAATAAATACACAATCATATATTGAATTATTGAAATTAATCTTTTCTTCAATAAACATTAATTATTTTGCCTATGATAAACATTTTCAAACTGTTTTTTGTAGATCCATCTGTACTATTGCAATTTTACAAAACGGCATTAAATGATAAATTTTGCTATAAGATTATTATAAATCTATTGTTATGGTATTTAGCAATATACTTGGTATGCGGATTTTTTTTTAAACATAATTTTTCAAATATCGAATTATATTTGGTAGAAATAAAATATAAATATTTTTAGAATGTTAATCTCTCTGTTAATCGTATAATATTTTTCTTCTGATAACATTTCATCGATATAATAATAAATATGAGTAAGTCATTTGCACGTCGGTTTATTACGAAATATATCATCAATGTACTTATGAGTTATTGTTTTGATATTCATTGTAATCAGCACATTTCTTATTAATTCGTCCATTTTCACATTAACAATAAAACTCTCGGTGCATTTCATAATTATATCTTGTAATAAAAATCAAACCGAATGCTTTAATTCTATCATATTAATACTCAACATAACATATAAAGTAATTAGATATAAGAGTGCATTTGTGTTGTTATACATGTACTTAGCATATAAATATAACTGCGCACTCGGAAATGTATGTATGTATATTTGTTAGTTTCCGCAAGTATATAAACGTAGTAAATATAAATGTATTAAAGATATTTAATATGTAGAAAAGCTATTTATTAATAGCTAAGCTCTACCGAAAATTTTGCCAGAAACTAACTTCTCATCTAAAAGCAAAATATGCATCCGATCCTATATTTTATTAAGTATACTCGCGTTCTAGAATTATTTTCTATTTGAAGGAAAATTCGAGAGATCATGTACCAAAGTTTCGTTTTGAACTTATTCCGTGTTTTTTATACAAATTGAAAATATTCTCCGTAAATTTCTGCATAAATAAATGTACAGTACCAGTATGAAATGTCTTTCTTTTGCCGAGAATAATAATGCCTATGTATATGTAGATGGAATATTTGTCGATGGATTAATTTACTAAAGACTATTTTATGACCCCTAAAACCATTATATTTTATATATTTATAATTACAGTCTGACTGCATTGCAATTTGCATTAGAAAATAATTAGTATTATATTATAAGTTTAGATTAAAAATCGAAGGTATATTTAAATTTTTTTTTATATTAATCACAATAATATTGTTCATGATTATAATTATCTTCATATATTTCTATATAATAGAAGTATAATTAAAGTAATGATCAAAATTTTTCTTCTATCCGATTATAGATATATTTTTGTATGCATATTAAACATAATATGCTCAATTTACTCGAATTTTTGCATTTTTTCACTTATCCATTATTTTTCTACTTTAAAGACTTTATAGCAACTATGGGCTTACGATCTTTACGTTTATTTATATTTATACATGATTATTTAATACAAAATAAAAATATAATTAATATAATTATTATTAAGCACTTATGAATTGCAAAAATATCTTATTATCTAAGTTGAAATTATTGCATAATTTTTGCTCTTAGTATTGTAAGAATGAGCGAACGTTTACGGTGCCAAGTTTCAATTTTACAATATCATCCAGTTTGCTTGTCTATTTACTTGTAATTACGTTGCACATCGTTGAAAATACATTATCTTCTGCAAAAACATAATCGATAAATTCCTTCACCACTCCATTACTCCTTTATTTATCATTACTTTTTTTATTTTACACTATATATATCTATCTCATGATGAATTATTTCGAAATAAATCTTTTTTTTTCACACGACGATAATATTCAAAATAATGGATGAAATTTATTTTTCCAAATAGTTTAGATAAAATAAAATTATTTAATTGAAATTGTAATTATTCGATTCGCACTGATACGTATAGTTTCAATTTAGATTTTAATAACATAATATTCGTAATGACGATTCGGTATTTTAATAACCAAATAATAATACAGAACTAATTTTTGTTGCACTTTGTCTATTTAATCAAATTCAGAGTTATGTTTGCATCGGGATGTGTAAAAATTATGGAGTATATGTATTAATACAACTCATTTTTCGTTTAGTAGTCATGTTTAATAATATGTATTTTGTTAAGAAGAAAATTTATAAAGAATATATTAAAAATAATATTTTGTTTAACAGTTTGGGTGGAAAAATGCAATAGTCCAAGTAAGGATAGAGAATGAAAATTTTTTAGTAATTCATCTACTATAAGAAATTAATTTCATCAAAATTAAGCAATTTATTTAACAAATATCTATTTATAATTTGCATTTTATTATTTACAATATATTATTTACTTTTAGTTGAGCTTTATTATTTCATGCTATAAAAGTCAGCAGCATTAGACCAGAAGTCGATTTTCGTAAAAAGAGGCAAAGAGCAGAGACTAAAAATGGATTACTCACTTTTACGTCAAGTGCTGATCGGTGTTGTATGTAAGTATGTATGATGTGCTTAAGCTTACGCAAAGGAGAGAGCTGCAAGGAAAGTTTGGCTTTTGGGGTTATATTATATATAAGTATGGAAAAAGCGATAAAGTGTGAAAGGAAAAGCAGGAGTAAATTTCTTTTACACTCAAATTAAATAAGTATTATAAGTATGGCACCATCCAAATAAAAAAAAAAAAAAAAAAAAAAACCCGGAAAAAAAAAAAAACGAAAATTGAATAGAAAAAAATCGTAAAGTAAGTAGAGAAATATTAGAATGAAAATAAATAAATAAATGGTGTAAGAAAAGCGAATGAATTTTCTTATATAAAGTAATTAATAAGAATAGTTTGTATTATATTTATTTTAAATATTTTTAGATAAAATTTTCGTATAAAACTTTGAAATGAAATTTCCGTATAAAACTTTTAGTCTTTAGTGCTTACCTAACTTATTTATTGTTTCCGCTACTTTACTAAAATTACATATGAAAATAATTTCCATTTAAGTAATTTGCTTTATAAAATGCAAGTCTATAAAATAAACATTTAAGGCATTTACATAAATAATACTTCACTAACTACTTATGCTTCGATACTCTTTGCTCACAAATTCATTTATCTTATTGACTATTAATAAGTAGTATACATACACATTTGAATCATCATCAAATATAAATTTAAGTTTATAAAATTGATTATTTAGTTCGACTGAGAGTATTGATCATTCATTGTTAATTTTCAGAATTTTAGAAATCTAGAAAAATATTTTCTGAAATTGTTTTTCAGCGATTTAATGTTCACAATATTTATAACTTTTTTTCAATTATACATTTAACATGCATTACTCGCCACAAGATGCAGCATAATTACATTATTTAAATGAATATTTAAATTATCTATATTTATATATAGTGGCAATAATGATTTTGATATTATTATTATTATTATTATTATTATTGTTATTGTTATTGTTATTTTTATTTTTATTGTTATTGTTATTGTTATTGTTATTGTTATTGTTATTGTTATTGTTATTGTTATTGTTATTGTTATTGTTATTGTTATTGTTATTGTTATTGTTATTGTTATTGTTATTGTTATTGTTATTGTTATTGTTATTGTTATTGTTATTGTTATTGTTATTGTTATTGTTATTGTTATTGTTATTGTTATTGTTATTGTTATTGTTATTGTTATTGTTATTGTTATTGTTATTGTTATTGTTATTGTTATTGTTATTGTTATTGTTATTGTTATTGTTATTGTTATTGTTATTGTTATTGTTATTGTTATTGTTATTGTTATTGTTATTGTTATTGTTATTGTTATTGTTATTGTTATTGTTATTGTTATTGTTATTGTTATTGTTATTGTTATTGTTATTGTTATTGTTATTGTTATTGTTATTGTTATTGTTATTGTTATTGTTATTGTTATTGTTATTGTTATTGTTATTGTTATTGTTATTGTTATTGTTATTGTTATTGTTATTGTTATTGTTATTGTTGTTATTGTTATTGTTGTTGTTATTATTGTTATTATTGTTATTATTATTATTATTATTATTATTGTGACATTTTAATCGATGCTAATCTCCTAATGCCTACACGCTCGCCTAAAAACAATTCTTGTTTATGAACTAATCATCCAATCAAAATCATTACTAATCGTATGAGATTGAAATCTCAAGGGTTTCCTACGGTGCCCCATATTATGTCATTATAAGGCCTTAAAGCTAAATAATTCACAAATATAAAGCGATTAGATTTTCACTTGGTCTAAAAATTTTCTCTCTATTTTCCCGTATGCGTTTAAACACGGGATACTTTAGGTAATCTTCTAATCGTCGACAGTGGCTTTCACGAAGGTTGGAGCACTCCGATGATCCCAAAATTAGAACACGATGATACACTCGCTAAGGTAACATCTGAACAAGGAGCATGGATCATCAACTTGATGTACGTGGGCGTGGGCGTAGGCTCAGTGATACCCCTATTACTCATGGATCGAATTGGAAGAAAATGGACTCTGCTGATAGCGGCAATACCAAAAATAAGTAGTTGGATCATATTCGCCTGCGCCCAGGATTATGCAGCTTTCTACGTAGGCCGATTAATAGCCGGAATTGGTACGGGAGTTACGTATTGCGTGACTCCAATGTACCTTGGTGAGATTAGTACGAAAAGGACGAGAGGACCTCTAAGTGCATCGTTAGCAGTATGGATCAACATTGGAATGTTAATAATATATGCTATTGGATTGTGGACCTCGCGATTGGTTATGTCGTTGATCGCCGTGACCGTACCGTTAATGTTTCTCCTGAGTTTTATGTGGCTACCGAAAAGTGCAATATTTTTGGCTAAAAAAAATCGACTAGGTAAAGCAGAACGAGTTTTGAAATGGTCGCTGGGACGTGATAATGTCGACGAGGAACTCGAAGAAATTAAAAGAATCGTTTCGTGTGAGGAATCAGAGAAGATCACTTTCTGGAACTCATTAACCGAGTCTGTAATGAGAGTCGAAAGCAGAAAAGCATTTGGTATAACTGGTATTCTTATGTCAGCCATGATTTTTTCTGGCGCAGCCCCAATTCTCGCCTACCAATCTTATACCTTTGAGGAAGCTGGTTTCGGTGTATCGACGGAGATAAGCGTTCTCGCTTCGGGCTTGGCCATTGTCGTGTCTGGTTTCGCTTGTGTTGTTCTCGTAAAGCGCACTGGCAAGAGGATGTTGCTATTGATCGCCGCACCAGCCACGGTGTTAAGTCTATCGGTTGTAGCGAGTTTTTTCACCTTGAAAACTTGGGAAGTTGACGTCTCAGGTATAAAGTGGGTACCCACTCTCTTCATCATGACATACGCTTTAGCATATGGTTTAGCTCTCAATCCACTACCGCTAAGTTATATCAGCGAAATCTTTCCGATGGATGTTAAAGTACCAGCGGCTCTATACTGCTCACTATTTTATGCCACGGGAAGTCTGTTAGTTGTAGAAATTTATCAGGTACTGTACATAATAATAATAATAATAATAATAATAATAATAATAATAATAATAATAAGACTTATATTCTTATTGCGCTTCTCTCAAATCTGACAAATACAAGCATATTTAACATTTCTTTTTTTCTTATTTTTGTTTTTTCTTTTTATAATAATTTCTGACCAATAGCTTTCATAATTCATTTTCTATAACTTTTTATAACAGCGAAGATGATTAATTATTTGCTTTTAAGTTGCTTATCTTTTAATATTAACATTCTATTTGCGAATACTAACTAGACCGATGGAACGTAACGTAAAATTCACCGTTGTATTATAATCTATAAAAAAAAAAAAAAAACAAAAAAAAAAAGAAAAAAAAAAAAAAGAAAAAAAATTAACAAAGACTCTTGTGTATGTTATTCTTTTCCAACTGGGAATCTAATTTATTAACTATAAATTACTTCAGTAATTAAATCAATATCGTTAATTGAAATTAATTTCATTTCATTCAATTATTTCTTACTTTATGGTAGTACAAAACTTAAATTTCTCTATCCACTCTTATACTAATTAAAATTACACGTAATCTAATGCATCTAATAATAGTTCAATAGTAAACGTTACCGAACAATTACAATGGTATGCTTACAGTTTCGATTCGATATAGTTTCAAATTTTGTATTTAATAAGTTTTTCACTGCCGTTCTTGCCTCCTTTTCTCTTACTTATCGTCTACTCAATATTTATCACTATCCCGTTCATTCGCGTTCTTTATCTTTCATATCGTTGCATTGCGTTTAGGTACTGCAGGAGTCTTACGGTACGTACGTACCATTCTGGTGCTTCGCCGCAATAACATCGTTCTTGTGGCTCTTAATCTACTTATTTGTACCAGAGACCGCGGGAAAGAGCTTGGAAGAGATTCAAATGGAGCTGCGAGGAAAAAGTTCGCCACTGGAAACGTAGATGCCGATAAGTGAATCGAAGCATTGTTATTAACGCTGTGACCCGTGAGCAACACAAAGAGGGTTCGCACTGCTGTTGGCAAAGTACTCGACGATCGATATAACCAACGTTTCTGCTCGATATTCATCTCCGTTCGTGTACTTTCTAACATAGATTCAAGATCTACTTTTTGATAAAAATCAAAAATACTTTCGTATTTAAGAATATGTACATGTACGCATTAAAATGCCACTAAAACTTTGAAACAAATTGCATGCCATTCCCTAATTTATTAAGCTTGCATATTTATGAAATATAGAAAGGAAATCATTAATGGCTTGATCATTTTAGTAGGTCCAATATACAAAGATGTAAAGGTCATGAAAGCGAAAATTGAAAAATAAAATTTTTTATTTCTACTTTATCATGGTCTCTGTATTAAAATATAAAGTATTTATAAATAATTTAAATAAAAACAATAATTTATTATGATATTGCATTGTAATTTGATATTTAGCTTTTATATATTTATCGTATATTCATAATTTAATAACAATTTTCTAATATTTTTACTAAAACAGTTGGGGTATAGATGTAATGATAACACGAATGAGGATTGAATTAAACATAATTTTCTATATACAAAACTTTCATGCCATTTTGGTTTTAAAAAAAGTATGTAATTTTTAATTAAATGTATAAAGTAGGTGATATTACATAGACAATGTTTTATAGGATAAATTTAATATAAACCAATATTTATACAATTAAAATTAGTAATAAAAATTATTAATAAAAATCAGGATTATGTACATAGTAGATTGATAAATTAAATAAATATTTAAATTTAGATAGTTCGAATTTTTTTATGTGATATCGAGGGTTATCCCCGTGATGAAAATATTCAATAGTTTAAAATTAAATGACATATAAATGGAAATATATTTACATTATATTGTATTAAAAGCTTCTATAAAATGCATTACAATTTCAAAAAGTGTATTTACTTTAATAAATACAGTTTCAAAATTCATAGCTTTAATTAATTTCTAACACTAACTAACTTAAAATATTTGGAACTCCTGTAAACTGCTCGTTTCATTCTTCAAGAAATTATATCGAATAAGGTGTATAAATACATATAATATTTACAACGCCTTTAAAGTACTTTATTGATTAAATTTCGCCTTAAAAAATTAATTTAAAATCAATAAAATTTTAAAAATAAGTCTGCAATTATACAATATTTATTTATCAATACGTATAATATAATATTTATTAGGTCAGAAAACATACAAATTTACAATAATATATATTTTTTATTTGATAAAATATTATTAATTCAAATTAAATTAAATTAAATTAAGAAATTTTTAGTATGTTACCTATAAATTATTGAATTAAAATATGTAATTAAATGCATTAATATATGCATGTAAAATACATATGTGTTGAATAATATTAATTTCAATACAAGAAAAAAAATTAAATGATACTTAACGTATTTTATATTTTTTTGTATAATAAATTGTCTGAAGGCTATTTAGTTATCAAAAATTCTCTTTGATTTTATTATTGAATGATTGCTAGAATTTAATCTCATCGTCAAAATTGATTTAATACAATAATTACTGCAATCGCGTTCAACAGTGCGCACTCACATTATTTATCTAATAAAAACATAATAAATACAATTTTCATATTAATAATACTATTCGTAAAAACATCATAATAATATTTATAATACTCATATTTAAATTATTGCATTCATGTTTATAATTAAAATTTAATGTTAAGAATTGAAAACTTTATATACTGCGTAACTGCGTAAGAAAAGAGGGAATTGCATCATTTTTATTATATTTACTGTTTTGAATAAATTGTATGGATGGCATTCTAGAAGTATTATATTATACGTTAACATGTAATTAATGCACTATATTTTATTTTTCTGAAGTTGTAACTCAGTGATTGAAATGCAAAGAATTTTCATTTTATTGTAAAATAATATCAATTAATCTCAAAAAAAAAAAAAAAAAAAAAAAAAAAAAAAAAAATGGTTAGAAACTTGTAATAATAAATGGTTTGCGAAACTATGTTGATCTGGATAGTTTTCAATGTAATTAAATCAATAGAAATAGTTTAATATAAAATTTTATACTTTCTAATAGTTCTCTACAATGTATGTATATATTATTATAAGAGAGTAAGTATATTCAAATGGAGCTCTAATAACACATATTTTTATTATTATATTATTATATTAGAATATTATATACATATTTTTCAATTTTATATTTTTGGGAAAATTCATATTTTATGTACCATCATTTTATTTTTTGTCTTGATAAAACGTCGTTTTCTGTTGAAAAAAAATGTAATGACGTTATACGATATGTATATATATATATATATATATATATATATATATAAGCATTTTAAATACTCTAAGTTTTGAAGATATAATTGTAAAAACTATAATAAAGGCTCTAAAGTATTATTATTATAATACCCAGTATTATAATATTTTAATATTTATAATAAATTGAATTATTTTCGATTATAAACAATTTACTAATGTAGTTCTTAATTCTAAAACATCTAATTATACAATTACGCAAATTAAATACTGCCATTATTTATAAATAAGTAATTGTTTTATTTATACTAAAGAATAGATTACAGTAGTAACTATTAAAGAATCAAACACGGTCATTCACCGTAATCTTTACTTTCTTTGAGTCTCACTCTTGAATTCCGACTATTTATACATATTTTTCTCTTTCTCTTGTGCGTTTGAGTTCCTTTCTGTCGGGTGACATACGTCAACAAGTGCGATAATTGTTTTCTCTTTCAAGCATGACGCTCGCAAGATTGACAAAGCTATTCGTGCATCCATCTCCTTCTTTTCTATATCACACTCGTCATCATTATCTCTCAACACAGGGTCAAATGATTATGCAAGTGCGCAAGCGCATATGTGTGTGATTACGAGTCGATATTTTTACGAGGCCGTAAAGCCCAACGTCTCGTGAATTCTTATACTGAGGGCCACTGCTGTTGGAATAAAAGATGCAGAAATCACGTGATGTGATGACTTTTCAAAATTTTATCTGCTGTCACGAGGGTATACGTGTCGACGCATATAAAAAAAGATGGTTAGAATAAAACAATAGCACAGACAGCGTAACTTTTTTTTCTTCGTCACCTTTCTTCACACTGGTGACTCTAATCAAAAAAAAAAAAAATTAAATCTGCACATGAAGATGAAGAAAAAGAAACTAAACTTTATTCATATAATGTTCATTTAATACAAAGTTGGAAACGTGCATGTATAATTTTAGTTTGTTGATATTTATTTTGTTTTATCAAATGTAAAATATAGTTTCATTGATTAAAAGGTAATTTGTCAAACTATAGATAAGAGTTTGAAATTTGATTCCGAATCATTCATATATATTTGTTTTTCATAAATATAATTTGTCGCCCTTAGTACGCGAACGCATTCACTTTTATTTCTACGTATATGTTACTGATATTTATACTTTAAATAATTCAATGTTATTTATGATGTTAAAGGCTTAAATATACAATGAAATAAATAATTGTTCATACTGGATATTGTACAGTTTGAAGATAAAAATTGTATTCCAAGTTCCAAAAATCGAAATTTATTATCAAACATTTAATATATGAAAACAAAAAAAAAACAAAAGAACTTTTTGTGTTATTATAATATTTAATATATGATAAAATTACAATATATCTAATATTGATAGAATTAATAACAACGTAAACAAATATATTGTATATATATTATAAAAATTCAGAGATGTAGCATATTTTTATTGAAATGCAATAACATTTATTAAACCGAAGTAATAGTGCATTATAAGAAACTTCATGATTATCTTTTATTTATTATATCATTATTTATTCTATTCTATTGAATATTTGCAAATATTAAAAAATGACGATAAATCCTAGATTTATATGCAAATTCATCATGATTATTATTGATGTGTATGTAGGTAGATTTATACAAAATTATATAGTTCAAAGCAAATATGACAAATAAGTTGAAAATAGAAATTTCACTTTCAATATAAAGTGATATATATATATTTCACAGTGTTGTAAATAAGAATATATATACACACTCAGTTACCTGATTATTAGGACTTCAGAAAATGTATTTCAAAATCGGATACATTATATTAAAGTAATGGATGATACCAAAAAGTTGCATAATGGAATAAGTTGGATTAAAAAAATTTATTATAATAACTGAATTTGCAGCTATAAAGGTTAACAGGTAATTACAAAGTTTCATTATTGCTGTTCTTTTATTCAGCGACTTGCAATTTGAGTCGATTAGCCGGTGAATAAACTTTCAAATTGTCTTTAAAATTCCTAAACGTTATTATATTAATGCTAATAGAACTAATGACATAGGAGTTTCTGTAAAATAAAATACTGAAATTGCATAGTATTTGCTGAAAAAAAATTGAATTAAAATCTAATTAGTCGTTGCTAATAAAAAATAAAAGAAGTAAAGGTAATAAATGTAGTTAATATGTTTATTTTACTAATTTTTTAAACGGTAGTATATACAAGCCAATGAATTATCTGAATAGAAAATGCATTAAGTAATATAAGTACATATTTGTAAGTAAAACATTTGTATGATGAAGCAAAGTCTATTTAAAAACATTATACAAATTATAGAACAAAAAAGTATTGTTGATATTATATACTTAATCCTACCAATAGTCCATCTACTATTTATTAACTTAAATATTTATACTTTAAAATTTTGTTGTAAATTTTATAGAATTACGTAGCTTATACATATATATATATATATATATATATATGTATGCGTGTAATATATATCGTATAATGCTTTCGTATTATTAAAACAGATTAAATTTTTACTCTAAATATAACGTTGAATTATATTATTGATATTATAAGAAAGACATAAGTGTATGGTATAATGCAGGTATGTCTTTAAACTATTTAATAGAGTAAACAAATCAATAATGTATTCATATATTAATAATTCCTCAGTAATGTCCGATTCATATTATCCAGTTTTTATTTTATTTAATATAAATTCAATGAATATCGACATTTGTTAGCGTTAAAATATTACCCTAGACGATCTGTTCGTAAGTTTGCCGCGTATTAGGACAAATGAATTTTAATCACGCCAT